TATATATATATTTGTATATTTGATATATATACAAATATAATGTAGGGGGAAGGGAAGTGAGTTTAGCATAATTTTTAAATAAACTAATAAATATCTTTTAGCTTTGTTTTAATTTTCAGTATGGTTAAATACCAATAGATATAACTCACCTAAACAAAACCTCTTGAGACCTCTGAGACTCTTCAATAATTTTTATGTATGAAGGATACTGACAACAAATACTTTGAGACTCTTTGCTCCAATCATATATATATATAGTCAAAAAGCATAATTTTTAAATAAACTAATAAATATCTTTTAGCTTTGTTTTAATTTTCAGTATGGTTAAATACCAATAGATATAACTCACCTAAACAAAACCTCTTGAGACCTCTGAGACTCTTCAATAATTTTTATGTATGAAGGATACTGACAACAAATACTTTGAGACTCTTTGCTCCAATCATATATATATATAGTCAAAATAATTGTCACACTGTAACAGTAATTTTTAGTTATGCACTATTCTTCCCTTCCCAGTAAATTGTAAATTTCTGGTAGACAAGAACTCATAACTGGAATCCCAGGCCTAACAATGTCTACCTATTTGTTGTTACTGTTTTTCTCATTCATAGGCTGTCATATTTCTTTTCAGTGTACATATATTCAGCTTTGCTCACTGAATTATTTCATTTAACTAATTACCTTTTTCTGAATGCTGATGTTTCCTCTCCTTTATCCTCTGCAACATTAACTAATTTTATATCATCAGGAATGTTGCTTGTAGGTGCAATCTCAGTGCCAAAGTGAATTTTATACTTCTGAGAGGAGCCATACACCAGCTTGCCAGCAGCATGCGGTAAGTCACTGTTACTTGATCCTCCTAAATTTAGATGACCTTGCTTATATACATTAGAGGGACATTGAAATTTTTGTGTGGGTGAAATACAATTTGTGTCTTCATTAATAATCTTCAAATTTGATGTGAACATTTTTGGCATCTTTTCCTGACCTAGAAAAAAAGGAATATGCTAATTATTAATATTTAAGTATTATTCAAGAAAACAATTTTTCAAAGTGATTTGTATATTTTCTATAGGAATGGTGACATGGCTTAGTAGGTTAAAAGTGATTGCAGCCAAGCCTCATAACCTAAGTTCTCTCCCCATAACCTAAGTTTAACTCAGTAGTTGTCCTCTGACTTACACACACACCGTGACATATGTGCTCCCCCAGCATGTGTGCTCACACATGCACACACACACACACACACACACACACACACACACACACAATAAATAAATAAATCAGAAATTTAAAAATTTTCTAAAGAAAGCTTCTCTCCTGGGAGCCCCCTGGGCCTGGTCTTGCCCTCACCTCCTTCTGCTTCCCTTGACTGCACAATGACCAGCCTCTTTCCTGGACACCGGGGCTGACCTCTCCACCGGCAACCACCACTGCTTCCTGATCCCTTGCACGCAAACAAATTCTGTTCCTTCTCCTTGTGGGCCCCAGGTGCCCTCTGGGCCTGGGCCCACCCTCACCTCCCTCTGCTTCCCTGGGCTGCACAACCGGCCAGCCTCTTTCCTGGACACCTGAACTGACCTCTCAGCTTCCTGATCCTTTACATCCAGACCAACCCAGTTCTTCCCTGCAGGCCCCAGGAGCCCTTGGGGCTGCTTCTCGCCCCCATCACCCTCTGCATCTCTGAGTGGCATGGCCACAGACTGCCCGAGACTGGCATCTTTCTTGGGCCCTGTTCCCAGGCCAGTCCAACCACCAAATTCCTGAGGACAACATCTTTCCTGGAGGGATCCAGACCTTAGGAGAAAGCCTGAGAGCATCTGACTTGGGCCTCTGTGGGAACTCCGAGGACAAAAGCAATATGGCCACTCCAATATAAAATCAAAGGAGAGAACTGGAAGCTTAGACAAATCAGCTTTTCATGCCCAAAAAGAAACTACAAAGACAAATAAAGTATACAAAAAGAAGCAAACCTAAATTTGAAGGCTTGAGTCTCACACAAGAATCAGAAACTACAAAAGAAATTCACATGTCAAAATCACAGAGAGGCAGCCCTCCGCGCTTTGACGCCCCAAGCCACATTCACCCTTCCATCTCCCAGCTTAGACAAATCAGCTTTTCATGCCCAAAAAGAAACTACAAAGACAAATAAAGTATACAAAAAGAAGCAAACCTAAATTTGAAGGCTTGAGTCTCACACAAGAATCAGAAACTACAAAAGAAATTCACATGTCAAAATCACAGAGAGGCAGCCCTCCGCGCTTTGACGCCCCAAGCCACATTCACCCTTCCATCTCCCCCGCTGTTCTCTACTCCTAGTTTGGGCCCTGTGCCATTCCTAGTCTTGGGGCCCCAGACACCTGGGGAACCAATACTGCTTCCTGATCCTTTTCACCCAGAACAATTTAGTGCCTTTCTTGGGCCCCAGGAGCACTGCTTCTGGACCTTGCCCTGCCCTCACCTCTCTCTGCTTCCCGGGACCTGCACCACCAGCTAACTCTCCTAGCCTGCATTCCCATCCTCAGGCCTCTTGGGGTAAGTCTATAGCGCAGCCCTCTGCGCCTTGACTCACCCAGCCACATTCACCCTTCCATCTCCCCCGCTG